TTGCTTGCTGTTCTGTTAAATTTTGCTATTCTTACTGGGGTGAGATGGTATTTCATAGTTGTTTTACAACAAAGTAATTTAATAAATGCTTATTAAAATGAAATCAGGCATACCAAGTTTCTAATACCCCTATTAGCAGATAAACTTAATATAGAGAGAATGTGGAGATAAGAGAATCCAAGTTCTGAAAATCAGCCTGATTTCCAGTTACCTGCATCACTGATGTTTTCTACTCTTCTGCTTACTCCTGACATCTAAGCAAATGATGACGATGGGATGAAGATATACATGAAACATGTCTATACAATAAACAAATATTGAGATAAAACAGCTTTCATGGATGCGCTTCTTGAAAAGTGGTACCTCAAATGTTTGTCCTTCTAAGTCCTTTGCATCACACCAGTTTCCCCAAGGATCTCGAACTCTTCGTCTCCTTGAGCGCTAATGTTAAAATACAGCAAAAGATAACAAAATTAACTTGTAGAAATTTCAGCACATAAATCAAAAAAGCTAAAATGGTAATTCTCTAAAACTAAATTAATAGATTTATCTACCTAAAATGATCTAATTGGCAGTTCCTGATTAAATTTTATTAATTTATGTTCAATAGTAAACATGCTACTTAGAAATACATCAGTGAAGAATTTCTGTGTACAGCAGTTTAGTGTTAAGTTGCTATGTCAACACAAAGGCAGATGGTTCAAATACACCTGCTGTCTGCATGAGAAAAATGGGCAATCTCCTCCTTTGCAATTTCCAGCCTTTGAAAATCCACTGGAGTGTCAGCTATGAGTTAGCTCCAACTTCTTGGCACACAACACCACTACCACTTGGATTGAATTTTCATTTCCTGTCACTATGAGGAAATAAAATACTAGGGTGAAAACTAAAAGCACTTTTAGCTTAAAATTTTTTTCAGGCTTAAAAGTAAAGGACTACTCAGTTAATACAAAAAGTGAAAAAAATAGAAATTACTAATAGCCAATTCTGCAAACTTCAATACTAAGGCCTTCAAAATGACCAGCTTGCCAAAGGGCTGTTTCAACTGAAAGATCAGCAGTTTGAATTTACCAACAGCTCCACAGGTGAAAAGATGGGCAGCATTCTGCCTGAAAAATGTACAGCCTTGGACTCTGGACACAGGGTTGCTATGAATCTGAATCAACTAGAACACAGTAGATTATTTCACCTATTACCAATAACGAGTCCTGATGGTGCACTGAGCTGCAAATGGAATTAGGGGGCGGGGGGTATCAAATACTCCAGCTACTCTGTGGAAGAAATATGAGCCAGTCTGACTTCATCAAGATTTATAGTCTTAGAGGTGGCTTAGTAGTAAATAACTGTGCTGACAATCCAAAGGTACATGGTTCAAATCTAGTAGCTGTTTCAGAGGTGAAAGATGGGGAATCTCCTTCCATGAGATTTATTTGAAAACCTGCTGGATGGTCAGCTATGATTTAGTTTTTTGGTTTTAGTGACCAATTTACTCCTTTCTTTCAGAGCACCTTGAACTTCCTCCTTCATCACCACATACGTTGTTTCATGAAATTCTTCTGTGTCCACCAATTCCTTTTGGTACAATGACTCTATACTGTTTTCATCTTCTTTTAATGCTTCCTGGATAATTTAATATTCTACCCAAAGCACCCTTAAGTACTGAAACTCAAGGTTTGAATTTGTTCTTCAGTTCCTTGAGCTTAAGAAATGCCAAGCAAGTTCAGCCCTTATGATTTTCTGACTCCAGCTCCTTGCACATTTCATGGTAGTATTGTCTTCCCGTGCTACCCTCTGGAATCTTCTGTTCAACTCCTTAATAACTTGATTTCTTCCCTTTGCTTTGGTTTCTGAGCTCTCCAGTGCAATATTCAGAGTTTCTTCTGACATCACCTTGGTCTTTTCTTCCACCTCCGACTTTGTAATGACCTTCTGTATTCTTTCTGGATGATATTCTTGATATCTTCCTGCAGCTCATCCAGGCTTTGCTCATTTAATGTCCAATGCCTCAAACCTGTTCCTGAGATAGTTTTAAAATTCAAGTGGGCTAGACTCAAGCTCAAATTTTGGTTCCTGTGGACTTGATTAAATTTTCCTCAGCTTCAGCTTGAACTAGATGAACATATGAGTAGTTGGTGGTCTGTTCCACAATCAGCACCTGGCATAGTTTTCACAGCTGATACTGAGCTTCACAGTGGATACTGAGCTTATCCAGCAATTCTTTCCACAGATGTAATCAATCTGACTCCTATGCTTACCATCAGGTGAAATCCATGTGTATAGCTTGAGTTTTTGTTTCTTACAAAATGTATTTGCAATGAATAAGTTGTTTACTGTGCAAAATCCTATCATTCTACCTCCGGCTTCATTTCTGTCACCAAGTCTGTGTTTTCCAACTGCTGATCTTTCTTTATTTCCACCTTTTGCATTTCAGTCACTCATTATTATTAATGCATCTTGATTGCATGTTCGATCAATCTCTGACTGCAAAAGTGGTTAGAAATCTTCTATTTCCTCCTCTTTAAAATTGATGGCATACTGATTGACATACTTCAACAAACAGATGCTTTCCTGGATGTGCTCACCAAGTTGTGCCAAGAAATCTGGGGGACAACCATCTGGCCTACTGACTGGAAGAGATATATATCTGTTTCCATTCCAAAGAAAGGCGATCCGACAGAGTACAGAAATTATCGAACAGTATCACTGATACAACATGTAAGTAAGATTCTGCTGAAGACTATCCAAAAACGACTGGAACAGCCCATTAACAGAGAACTAACTAAAGTGCAGGCTGGATTTAAAAGAGGCTGTGGGAGTAGGGATATTATAGCTAATGTCAGATGGATCTTCGCTGAAAGCAGAAAGTGATTACCAGAGGAATGTCTGTTTCACTGGCTGTACAAAGGCATTTGACTGTGTGGATCACAACAATCTGTGGCTGACTCTGAGAAGAATGGGAATCCCAGAACACTTGATTGTGCTTATGAGAAACTTATACTTGGACCAGAAGGCAGTCATCAGAACAGAGCAAGGAAACACTGCATGGTTCAAAACTGGGAAGATAGGACGTGTCCTATCTCCATATTTTTTCAATCGATATGCAGAACAGATTATCTGGGAGGCTGGGCTCTATGAGGAGAAGTGTGGCATCAGGATTGGAAGTAGACTAATCAACAATCTGCATTATGCAGATTACACAACGCTGCATGCTGAAACTGAGGAGGACCTGAAGCGCTTCCTGTAGAAGGTCAAGGACTGCAGCCTTCATTATGGATTGAAGCACAACATCAAGAAAACAAAGATTCTCACCACTGGGCCAATTGGCAGTATCATGATGGAGGATGAAGAGACTGTGACTGTTTACAGCTTCAGTTTGCTTGGCTCTACAATCAACACTCTTGGTATCAGCAGCCAGGAAATTAAAAATAGAATTGCACTGGGAAAGTCTGCTCAGAGACCTCTCCAAGGTACTGAGGAGCAACAATGTCAGTCTAGAAACTAAAGTGTGCCTGATACAGGCCATGGTCTTTGCAATTACTTGCTCTGCAGCAGAGAGCTGGACAATGACTAGGGATGACAGAAGGAGAGTTGATGACTTTGAGCTGTGGTGCTGGAGAAGAATAATGAACATACCATGGACTGCTAGGAGAACAAACAAGTTCATCCTGGAGAGGGTGAAGCCAGGCTGCTCCTTGGAGGCAAGCATTCTGAAGCTCTGTCTGACACACTTTGGACATGCTGCAAGGCAGAATCAGTCCTTGCGAGGGATGTCATGCTTGGGGGGGAGGTATGGAGGGACAGTGCAGGAGAGGAAGACCCTCAATGAGATGGACTGATACCATCATTGGGGTAATGGGGATAGGGATGTCGGAGACAATAAGATTGGTAAGGGATAGAGCCGGGTTTAGGGCTGTTGTACATAGGGTCGAGTTGCATGCCACCTGACGGCACATAACAACATCCTAAAAATGATTCTTGAGAATTAACAGAAACAAAACTCTGTTCATAGTTTGCCAATGAATTGTTACAATTTTTCAGAGGCTGTTGCTGCTTCACAAACCAATATGGAAATGAATGGTAGGTGAAGAAGTGTATGTCTGAAGTAATACACAAAAGAAAAACATGTTCTTTTACTAACTGGCTAGTCATTCTACTATTCAAGAAAGTAGGTACACCTTACTTTACAGAGTAAGGGAAGTTTTGGAGAGAGCAAGGTGACAACATACCATAGATTGCAGGCGTTGGGCAAGCTGGTATGCTTCTACTGTATCTTTTGTGTCTCTGATACGTACTTTATCAACTGGCTGTGGTCTGTTATACACAGCCTGCTCTGTCAGAATTAATGAAAGGTAAAATAATTACTTTATGAAACTCATTTGTTAAGACAGTAACACTGACTAGAAACTGTACATTCATTTCTATATAGGTATGCCTCTAGAAGTCTTACTCCATAATTACACATTTGATGTAGTATTTAGTATTCAAATAGAAGTAATGCTTTTATTATAAGGAAATCTGCATGAACTGGAATATATAGGGCATGGTGAATTTGTTTAAATTCTAATTAAAAGAGTGATACATCTACTTAAATGGAGACCTGGGCCAACAGTTAAGCACTTAGCTGCTAACTGAATAGCTGGCAGTTTGAATCCGTCTAGTGGCTTAGTGGGAGAGAGACCAGCTGATCTGCTCCCATAGAGCCTGCATCTTGGAAAACAGCAAGGAAAAGTTTTACTCAGTCACAATAAGTTGAAAATCAACTCCACAGTACCTAATAAGCCTTCTGAAGGTATAATATAAAAGGGATGATTTTGCTTTTTAGTGGGTGAGGAAGCTTAAAATACCTTAGTTTTCCTGAAAAACCAGTTACAATATACAGAATTAAGGACAAAGAAAGACATTTAAATGAAAGACAGATTCCAGAGTAGATTGTAAAACTGATCACTTTTTCATAAAATAATTTCTGCCAGCAAGTTTTCTGGCTAGATGTATCATTTTTATAGACAAGAATACAGAATATACTCTTTACAAACAATGGGTTTTAATTATCACTTATCACTGTGCAATTATTATTATACTTTTTTAAAAACAAGTTTGTGTCATGTTAATGAAATAAAGAGGCAGAATACATTTAAACATGCACATTCGTTAACCTTATATTGGAAAAAAAACACCAAATCAACACTAAGTGAAAGAAACTTTTTTGCCTGAAAACATGGCATCTTTATTACATGTAACTGTAGAAGTTCATAAATTATTTTCTTTATTTAAAAACTGCCATGCAGCATTTCTGCTGTGACTAACATATTTGCAAATTAAATGAGCTATAATTACTTCCTCATAAAATCTCCTTTTCCCTAAAAAAAAAAAAAAAAAAACAACCCTCAATTATATTCGTAAATGATATCTTTTACTTAGATTGAATATTTGAATATTTTTCCTTTAAAATTATATCAATTTTCACTGTAGGTCAAAAGAAAATACATTTTAACCAACAAAAATCTGTTTTAAAGTAAAACTTTAAAATACTTCTAAAACATCATGGCATCTCTTTAAATTTTACGTCTACACCTTAATCTACTTGTATTTTAACCACCAAAGAAATTAATGGGTGCTCTAAGGATTAAAAATGTCCAATAAAAGATGTTGCTGGGTTTTTATTTTTACCACATCCAAAATTGATTGCTCCTATCAACTCGAGGTATGTATGAATCCGTCCAATACAATTAACATCCCCACAGTTCTTCAGGCCAGGACGTACTGAGGTCTTATTTAAGTATTTCGGTTTGCATATCTCCCTAATTAAGAGATGGAAGTACAATTATTTTGGATGAAAAGGAAATAAATGGAACATGAAAAAATTTCTGGGAAAAACTTTTTGTATTTGAGTATTTTAAAATTTTATCCCTTCTCAATGTGTAAATATATATGAAATACAACGCTAAATAATACATAATACCCAAGTATATTTTTCTGAAATAAAATATCTTCAAATGATACAATAACTCATATGCAATTTGTTCACATATTAGTTCTTCCTCAATTTTCAAATCAACAGATTACCCAGGTCCTCGAAGTTAGAAGCTTATTTATCTAAAGTTCTAAATTCAAGTAAGCATGAATTTACTAAAAAACGGTACTTAGATAATATCATACTGAAAATATTTAAAACCAACTGCCATACAGCTGATTCTAATATAAGGTGACCCATGTCAGAGTAGAACTCTGTTCCACAGGGTTTTCAACAGCTGGGTTCTTGTTTTGCCTTTTTTTCCCCCCTGCAGAAATAGTCTGTCAGGCACTTCCAAGGTACCTTCTTATAAATTAACAATTTTACGGTTTAATCATACCATATCAACAAGTATTAAGTGCTTATTCTCAGTAGAAAATGGAAATAGATACAATAGAAGATCCAAAAGGAATCAAGATGTTCCACAAAATAATTAAAAATGTAAGATGTTTATACTAAATATTTATTGAATACTTAATATATCATGCTAGACAGCATTAGATTTAAAATAGAGGATTTAGTTATAGCAACTATCATTTACTGAATGCTTATGTCAGTTACTGTTGTTAAATGTTCTTCATTCTTGGAAGTTCTATGATATGGATGCTATTACTCCCATTTTAAAGAGGTGATGAAACAAGAGGATTAAAGGAATCAAGGCACTTACTTAAGGAAGTGTCAAGTAAAGATATAAGCACAGAGAATAAAATCAGACATTTGGATATGGAAGTGTTTCTTATTCAATCACTACTTCATCCTCTTCGATATTGTTCTAGACACCAGGAATATGAAGATTTCCTGATGTCACAGAACTTACAAAGGTACAAAGGGGAAGATAAAATGCAATGCCAGGTAGCAAGCACTAAGTATTAAGAAAATGTATGAAGGATAAGGATTTGCAGTCAAACAAAGAAATTATACAGTAGATGGGGGGGGGGGGTGGGCAAGGATGTGGGTGTTTATAGGAAAACGGAAACCAAATTTTAAAAATCACACATTTTAAAGAAATTTGCTGTTATGTGCTGTTGAGTCAAAACCAACTCATAGTTAACTCTCCAGTGAGTTATGGCACAAGAGGAGACTGCCTATCTTTTTCCTACAGAGCAGCTGATACATTCGAACTGCTTGACTTTGGGCTGACAGGTTAATTCCATACCACTAACCCACTTAAGATCCCCTACAGATTTTAGGGAAAGGAAAAGTAATTTGGCAGGATATAACTTTTTTATTGAAAAACTGAATTCTCAATGTATTGTAAAGAAATAAACTGCACAGATGAAGGCAAAAAAAGAAAGAGCATGATCTCTGAATTTTAGCTCTCAAGTAAAGAAGTTTAAAAAATATAGTAAAAATTTCTATATAGAACTCAATTTTTTATAATTTAAAAAATTATACAATTTTCTTTTTAATTATATAAAAAAGATATTAATTTATAAACACATAAAAATACTCTAAAAATAAGTAATAGTAACTAAAATCTGTGAATATTTGTTCATATTAGTCATGATTCAATCATCCTTTTGTCCCCAACAAATATTGAGTATCCTTTATAAACTGCAAGCATTTCATAAAACAAAACAAAAAACTACCCTCACTGAGCCTGAATTCTTATATATACCTTAAGAAACAGATAAAACAAATGAGATATTTCTGATGTAAAAAAATTTAATGAAATAATATATGAACAAGAGCCTGTGGTGATGAAGGAAGAAGTTGAAGATGCTTTGAAAAAATTATTAAAAAACAAGGCCCCAGGAATTGATGGCAAACCAACTGACATATTTCAACAAACAAATGCTGCCCTGGATATGCTCACAAAATTGTGTCAAGAAATCTAGAGGATAACCACCTGGCCAACTGACTGGAAGAGATCCTTATCTGTTCCGATTCCAAAGAAAGGTGACCCAACAAAGTACGGAAATTATCTAACAATATCATTAATATCACATACAAGCAAGATTCTGCTGAAAATTATCCAAAATCGACTGGAATTGTACATCAACAGAAAACTACTAGATGTGCAGGCTGGATTTGGAAGAGGTCGTGGTACTATGGATATTATTGCTAATGTTAGATGGATCTTGGCTTAAAGCAGGGAATACCAGAGGAATGTCTATCTGTGTTTCATGGACTATGCAAAGGCATTTAACCGTGTGAATCACAACAAACTGTGACTAACTCTGAGAAAAATGGAAATCCAGAACACTTGATTATGCTTATGTGAAACCTGTACTTGGACCAGGAGGCAGTCTTCAGAACAGACAAGGAAAACACTGCATGGTTCAAAACTGGGAAGGGTGTATGCCAGAGATGTGTCCTGTCTCCATATCTTTTCAATCTAAGTGCAGAACAATCACCTGGGAGACTGAGCTCTATGAGAAATGTAGCATCAGGATTGAAGGTAGACTCATCAATAATTGGCATCATGCAGATGACACAACCCAGCTTGCTGAAACTGAGAAGGACCTGAAGCAAATAATTTGAGAAGCTGGATTCTATGAATGAAAATGCGGGCTTAGGAGACAAGGATGGATGGTGAAGCTTCATCTCACATACATTCAGCATGTTGTTAGGGGGATCTATTCCTTGAAAAGGAACATTATGGTTGAAAAGGTAGAGGGTCATTAAGAGAGGAAGACCTTCAATGAGATGGACCGACATAGTGACTGCAAATGGGTTCAAGTATGTCAGAGACGATAAGGATGACACAGGATAGGAAAGGGTTCAGATCACAGGGTTGCTATGAGTGCCACTCAACTCGGTGGCACCTAACAACAACAATATGTGAACCAGAGCAAGTTCCTTTTTTCTCTCTGAATCTCATTTTCTCCATCTCATTATGAAGATAGTACCTACTCTATTAGAACTGTTGAGAGGACTAAGGGTGATCAATCTAAAGCTACGCATGGCATTTAGCAAGCAATCAGTAATGATATTTTTCGGTATTTTTTTTTCTAAAACAAAAAACACTCTGCTTACAAGCAGTCAATTCATTTGCTTTTATGGAAAGGATCTTTTAGCTGCAAAAAAAAAATTTAACAGGTCTTCTTTTACTTTTAAGAAGTATTTTTTTTAAATATAAAAACAAAAAAACCCACAAAAATACATGACCAATAATTGCTAATCATGCTTTTCTATTTCTGAAGAGAACAGACTTGAGTTCCTGTTTAAAACAAGGCTATATGCTTTTTCATTTTGTTCTGCTATATCCCCACAGCTGGGATAGTAACATCTAACTGGATTAGGGGATTATTTAACAAATTAAGGCAAATGGCATGGGGAAACTTTTATAATTATTTTTCTACCTACATAACTTACTTTTGGCGGTCCCCACCCCACCCCCGGTCTGTCTCTCATAGCTGTTCAATCGGTTCCAATTCATAGCTGACCCTCCAGAAGGTTTCCAAGGCTGTAAATTGCACAGGGGGAGAGAGTGATCACTGGACTCAAACCTCCAGAGGTCCAGCCTTTGGGTTGGCAGTGCAATTCTCTATGGACTACACCACCTGAGCTTACTGTGCTTCACTAGAACTTAAAATTCAATATAAGAAATAGAATTTGATTGAAATAACATTACTCATTAAACACATATTCACTAACCATGATTCTGAAATCCTTCAATTTTTACTTTCATCTTCCTACTTTTAAGAACAAAGTCAATTACAACATAGCACGAATTTGTCTTTTTTTAAAAAAAAAGTGAATTAGGCAATGTAAAATAGTAGAGTTTGATTTATAATCTAGACATAGAGTAATCTTTCCTCTGTTACTGGCTGGTACATAATCCCCTTTTACACCTGAAGATCCCTCTCTATTAAATAGATCTAAACCCAAAGCTAAAAAAGCCACTGTTCCTGACTTGGTTCCAACTTACAGTGACCTTCCACTGGGTTTCCGAGGTCACAAATATTTACAGGAGGAGAGTGGAATTTTTTCTTCCACTGAGTGGCTGGTGGGCTTGAACTGCTGACTTTCACATAGGCCATCAAAGCTGCTTCAACTAGGGCTACTAATATCACCTCCTATTTCACTGGACTGTTGTGAAGAATCAAATTAAACTTTACAGGAAAAATGTAAAGCTCTATTAAAATGTCAGGAGTTGTTCCTTACATGTATTTATTACTCTGATTTCACTCTTATACAAAAGTCAAAAGTTTAGCAACCCTAAGCATCTATGAGACAGGTAGAAATATTAGAAAATTCTTCCTCTTAGAGTATGACTGTCCTGCATGACTTAATATTTATAAGTGTGGGTAGATAAAAGCTACTGATGTAACAAGTGTGGTTATGTCTTTCTTAGGTAACCTTTCTAGGATGGGCAGAAAAAATTTTTAAGAGGTTAAGATTCTTCATAGAGCAGAAGAGAAAAATAAGAGAGAAAACAGAATCTCAACTAAAAGGAAATGTGATGTTCTCTATGAACAACCCTATATAATTCAGTAGCTACTGAAGTAGTAACAATTATGAATACTTAGTGGTGGTTTACTAAAACCACTTAAAATTCAAATTACCTTCAGAGTACTTAAGTTAGTTAGATGAGAAGTTGGTCAGCCATTTCTCATCTCCCACTAATAATTCAGGAAAAGGTGCTGACTATATATAGAGGAAAAATTTCATACATCAGACAATTCCTGTATCCTGATGGAACTATCAAAACTTAAAAATTCAAAGGTGGCTTATAAAATCTCTTATTTCCTTGTCACTGATTATATATAAAAATATATATATAAATAAAATACACACACATACACATATATATTTTCTTTTTACTTCCATGTACATCACAGACTTGGAGAAACAAAGGCATTCTCTTTTTCTAGGGCAAGAGATATGCTATCTGTGTCTTCCTAACTAAGAAGTAGCCTCGTAAGGCAGTATCCTATGTCTCTCTTCTCAAGACTAAACAATGCAATCAACAAGGTGATTAAACCTAGTGGCAGGAAACTGCACTGCAATCCCAGAGGTACACGGTTCAAATCCACCAGATGCTCTGCTGAAGAGGGAGGAACAATCGCCTCCTGTACCAGTCAGATCCAATTTGACGGTACACACATAAAATAAATAAAAATTGAAAAAAATAAATTAAAAAAAAAACCAAAAAAAAGCAAGGTGATTAAAGACAAGGTTTACTGAAACTTTCAAAGAAGCTTTGCAATGAGAAATTGGAAGTCTTCACTGCTTAAGTACAATAATGAGCTCTCTGGATTGCTATCAATGTACAACACTAAATTCTTAATAGGCAAAATTAACATATTCTAGAGTATTAAGTTTTAAAAAGAATCTAAAACAGAATTCCTTCTTACCACTGATCCAAAATGTAATTCCTAATTTTCAAATAGCGTTCTGGTGTTTTAGCTGGGCGTCCCTCAAAAAACTCAGGAATTGCTTGTCTTTCTTCTTCCTGAATGGTATTTCTATCTACTTCTATTTCTTGTTCTGGTGGCTTAAGCTCTTCTTCTTCATGGTTCTCCTCTTCATTTTGACATGAGGAATGAAAAAGCATTTCCTTGTCACTTAAATCTTTCTGTCTGTCACAAGGCTCTGGAAAAGGGAGCTCACTAGCATCAGCTCTTACAGTCTGTTCATAATCCTCAGCACAGTTTCTAAACAGTTCATTAGATTTCTGATCATTTAAGTCAACTGATCTTCCATCACTGGTGTGATGTTTTTCAGTCCCTAATGTAATTACTGAGCTTGAACGTGCTTCTGTCTCACCTTGCTTTATATTCTGAAGATATTCCTTGGAAGATTTAGAAAAAGAGCCTTTCTCTGTGTCAGAAACAATGAATTCAGCTTGACTGGTTTCATGAGTTTTACTATCAGGAATGTCTTTTAAGAGTCCACTGCTAGGATTCTTTTCAGGTAGCTGAAAAGGCAACTCGTCTGCCTCATCTGTGATGTCCACTTCTTCATCATCAGATAAATGTTCAATTTTTATAGCATTCAAGTTGGGATCAGCAAGTCCCCTTGCTGATGATGATAGTGTCCATGTCTTTATTCTTTCCTCTTCATTTTTAACCTGAAGGTCACTCTTGCTCTTCTGATATGGTGCTTCTTTCTCCAGACCATCTAATTTTACCTTATTAAAAAGGAAGATAAAATCCCAAAGTATCACTATATAAACTCAACAGCACACAAAAATACAGGATATGGTAAAGAGAATTCTATTAAACTACATATATGTTGATGGTATATTACCATTTTTTGTATATTACATTTTTATTGCGCTTTCTTTAAATCATTTACCACTATGCTTTAAAGAAAAATAATATTTTCACTGACTCAAATTTATATTTACTCATCCGTGGTCTGATAACCTTTATGAATCCCCCTTCAAAAAAAAAAATCATGGAAATAGAAAAAAATAACCACAACTTCAATTTTAATAGTAAGCTTTAAAAAGTCTAACTTGGATCATAAAGAACGACCCAATAATCCCATACTAAGATATTCTATAAAAGTGAAATGTTCAAATAGGCTCAATGAATATCTGAAACGTAAGCTGATCTTTATGTACTAAGCAAAATAATCCTTAATTTAAAATAATCTAATTATAAATAATCATTTAAAACATTTCATTAAAATACAAAGACATCAGAAACAAACATTTTTCTAGATTTAGGCAATATTATAAAGCTTATCATTCAAGATAGAAAATTATCACCCATATCTTCATTATAGACATAAATATCTGATAATGCAACAAGACCAGTATGATGAAAGTCAGGAAATATTACTTGGGTTTGACTGACATACTCAAGGGATATGACAGCTCAAAAAGTTTTACAGATTGTGTACCACAACAGAATCTCATGATTAAGTATTAAGGCTAACTGACTTCATATACTGGTAGAGAATAAAATGTAGCAGGAAAGAGAAGGGACAGAAGCCAAAGAAGTCTTTAAGAAGCTTGTTATTTAAGTTTGCTTTTATTTTAAAAATTCCCATGAAATTTTGAGATATATTTCCTTAGTGTTTTCTACTATTAAAAACATTACTTTTATTAAATAATTTACTATTAATACTAAAAATTCACATGAAATTTTGTGATGTATTTTTTTCAGTGTTTTCTAATATTAAAAACAATTTCTCTGCTGGCACTTTAAAATCCATCACATATAAGCTAAAATTATACATAATCCAGTTTAGGAAGTATGAAGCCAAGAATAACAAAGTTAAGCTGTATTCTGTTCTGAGGTATCCTAACCTGTTTAATTGCTTTGAAAATCCTTTGTTTGATTCTGTTACATCTATTCCATTACTTTACTTCTATCTCAAGTGACACTAGATTAGATACATTATTTAGTAATCAGAGTAGAGTTCATTACTTGTATTAAAAGATGACAGGATCACTCAGGACATTTCCAAACTCTGTATTAGTTCACAGAATCTAAGCAAAACATATTTAAAAATCCTAAATAATTAAAACTGCATCCTTGAATACTGCACAAAATAAATGAAAGTTTAGGAAATAGAAATTAAACTTTTCTGAACACTGTAATTTATTAAAAATTTTATGCTTATAACTGTAAAAGCTTCAGTGCTCTTAAATGAGTTTTAGAATCATGTTAATAGTTATAGCTCCCATTTAGATAATACTTTTCAGTTTTTGTGAAGCAAATATTTAAATAGAAAAGATACTTTCCTGAAGAAAAAACTAAAATAAGACTTTTATGGTTTTTTCCTTTTGCAATGTACTTTACATTTTGTTTTGTTCTTGAGCAATTACCCTTTCCTCTTTTAATTTAGCTGTCTGAAATTACGTGGAATAATAGTTACCATTATTTAATTACAACAATAATGATATGCGTTTGTAAAGATAAACAGGTATTCAATACTTCATATTTATTTAATATTCTCATTTAACACTAAAACTTTAATGCCTGAAATCTTTCTGATTACTGACCTTATTTCTTCTAAATATCATCACTATGAACAAGGATATTCATGCTTTGCTTACCTTATTTTTAAAGTACTGTCTGGCATAACTCTTCACTTGTATTACAGTGCGACTTCCTATTAGCTTTGCAATTTTAGTCCATCTTCGACCAAATTTAGCCTATTATCAAAATGCGGGAGGAGAAAGCAGTTTTGATTAACTTGCTAACATTCCAGGCAACATTTTAACATTAAAAATAAACAAAAAAGAAAAACCCATTCCTGAAGCTTCTTACTAAAGTAGGCTTTTAAAATTAAAGTTCATATTCTTTTGGGACAGGAACCTCTATAAGCTGGCCAAAATGATAATAAATAATAATAATAATTTTTTAACTCTTTAAATAAAAATCCAACACTTTTATTACTAAATGGTATGTATTTATATTACACATTATGATTCCTCAAATACAAGATAATTTTTTAAAAGAAATTTATGTCTAAAAGGAAAGTACTTTTAAATTTTCCACTTACAGGATCAACTGAATTATGTTCTGACCCTAATTTCAAAATAACATTTGTTTTACTGAGTTTCCATTTTTTTGCAACATTCACTACATGTCCCCCAGCATATTAAGTCTTTATATAGACATCACAGTACACTGACTGACAAAATTGAATCACAAACAAAATATATGTGTAACCAGTGACTTCCCATGCTCCTCCAGTAAAAGGCTGAGCACTTGGCGATGAGGGCTAAACCTGTCGCATAAATCCTAGAACTTCAGGAAGCTTTCATGTGTTCTGAATTACAGAAAAGAATTCACATCAATTTAGAGCTGAAAAAAATATTTTGGTATCAAGCATAACTATCATCTGTGCACAAATCTTTTCTAACATCCCCAACACAAGACACTATTTCCCCAAGGCAGTTCAATAATTCTGCTATGAATTCTTAGAAACTATGCCAGAGAAAACAAATCAAAACAAACCAAAACAAAACCAGAAGAAAAAACCTACTTTTACAGGCCAAGCAGACATGCCCATGGTAGTAAACAAATCCCAAGATTTGACTCAAAGAAAACCTGAATTTACAGACACTAGCACTCATTAGAGATTGTGGTATACAGCTAATTTCTGAAAAAGGAAAGGGATTTTGGGAAATTATCAGTAAGTACATAAAACAAACGAAACACAAGCCTGTTGCCATCAGTCATCTCCAACCCACAGCGACTCTTCATCTGGTTTCCGAGACAATACATCTTAACAGGAGAAGACTGTTCACTTCGAGTACATGGCCTTTTGGTTAGCAGTGGACCACGATACAGACCACACTATCAGAGCTCCTTAATAAATATGTTACATATTTAAGTGTTATATGGTCCATGTAAGTTGTAGTCAACTTGACATTTAACACCATCAACACATATTTAAGATTGCTTTTAATAGACATGTTTTTTTTAAAAAAAATCAAACACACAAGAAATAACAGTGCCAGTGAGCTGAGTTTGACTCACAGTGACCCTTTTCTGTATTGTTGCCTCTGTCTCTCAAAGAACTGCTGGTGGATTCAAACTGCTGACCTTTTACTGTTATATGCAGAGTAACACATAATGCACTATGCCACCAGAGCACCTTAACTAAAACTAACACTTAGCAAGGATCCACTTATTAAAGAATTACTTATCCATATTTAAGATTAAGGTAAACACAGTAAATCTGGGAGCAGTAGAAACCCAAGAGATCACCTAGTTTTTCTTGCTACAGAAAGTTTTCTACCTTTGACAGGGAGCACCAGCCATACTACATTTCTACTGTTCTCTATTGGTGAAAATTATCTATTTTCTTGTTTTGTTAAGTATTCACCTTACACAAGTTTCAGTTTTTGCAGGTTTTATAGTAGATAACTTAGTAGGATAGAGAATTTTGGGAAATAGAAAAGCTAGTGACAAAGAGTAACTAATTGGAATTTTATAGGTTTAGGTATTTTTTTTTTCAAAAGAAACAGAAGACTATAACAATAGGTTTGAGGCATTGAACACTAATGACCAAAGACCAGATGAGTTATTGGATGACATCAAGGATATCACTATAAAGAAAGCAAAAAAGGTCATTACAGAACACTGCATTCAAACGGATGAGGGAAAGAACTGTCCAAAAGGAATATATAATTAGGCATTATATGTATGACAACAATCTGAAAGAAGGGGTACATTTTGGGGTGGGCTGGGGTGGAGGGAAAGAAAAGGTGCAACAATGAAAAAATATTTAAAAAAAAAGGTCATTACAAAGACAGAGGATAACAAAAAGACTCTCAGCAGTTAAAACACAAGTGACAAGTGACAAGTAGTCAAAACAAAGGGGAAGAAATGCTGAAGTAAAAGCTGAACAGATTTCAAAAGGTAGCTGAAGACGACAAAGATTAAGTTGTTGTTATGTGCTGTCGAGTCGCTTGCAACTCATAGCAACCCTATGTACAACAGCCCTAAACTCTGTTCTGTCCTGTGCCAATCGCACTGTCTCTGACACTCCCATCCCAATTACCCCAGTCACTCAATCAATCCACCTCATAGAGGGCCTTCCCCTCCTGCGCTGTCCCTCCACCCTCTCAAGCATGATGTCCTTCTCCAAGGACCGGTCTCTCCTTACAATATGACCAAAGTATGTTAGACGAAGCCTCAGAATCCTTGCCTCCAAGGAGCAGCCCGGTTTAACCCTTTCCAGGATGAATTTGTTTGTTTTCCTAGCAGTCCATGGTACCAATACTCTTCTCCAGAACCACAGCTCAGAGGCATCAATTCTCCGTCTATCCTCCTTAGTCATTGTCGAACTCTCTGATGCACAACAAGTGCTTGCAAAGACTATGGCCTGTATCAGACGCACCTTAGTCTCCAGAGAGACACCATTGCTCTTCAGCACTTTGGAGAGGTCCCTAACAGCATGCTAAGAGCTGGAAATAGAAAATAAAATGGGTAGAACTCACTCAGCAGTTCAAAAGTAGAAGAAACTGAAAATTTAAATTTGAGGTGGCAATATTGAAGGATAATAAGGGGAAAATCTTGGAATGATACAGGAAACATCCAAAGAGGAAAAGAGTATTAAACAGATGTCCTGTCTCCACATCTTTTCAACCTGTATGCAGAACAGACCATCCAGGAGGCTGGGCTCTATGAGGAGAAATGCGGCATCAGGATTGGTGGAGGATCTATCAACAATCTGCATTATGCAGATGGCACAACCCTGCTTGCTGAAACTGAGGAGGACCTGAAGCACTTGCTGCAGAGGATCAAGGACTGCAGCCTCCAATATGGATTGAGGCTCAATGACAAGAAGACAAAGATTCTGACCAATTGGCAGCATCAGGATGGATGGTGAAGAGATTGAGATTGTTCACAGCTTTAGTCTGCTTGGCTCCACAATCAACACTCTTGGCACCAGCAACCAGGAAATGAAAAGATATTATTGTGATGGGAAAGTCTGCTGTTAGGGACCTCTCTAAAGTACTGAAGAGCAATGGCGTCTCTCTGGAGACTAAGGTTCGTCTGATACAGGCCATGGTCTTTGCAATCACTTGTTATGCACCAGAGAGTTGGACAATGACTAAGGAGGAGAGACGGAGAATTGATGCCTTTGAGCTTTGGTGTTGGAGAAGAGTATTGAGGGTACCATGGACTGCTAAGAAAACAAACAGATTAACCTAGAGAGGGTTAAACCGGGTTGCTCCTTGGAGGAAAGGATTCTGAGGCTTCGTCTAACATATTTTGGTCATATTGTAAGGAGAGACCGGTCCTTGGAGAAGGACATCATGCTTGAGAGGGTGGAGGGCAGGCACAGGAGGGGAAGACCCTCTAGGAGATGGAGTGATTCAGTGACTGGGATAATCTGGATGAGTGTGTCGGAGAAAATGAGATTGGCACAGGACAGAACAGAGTTTAGGGCTGTTGTACATAGGATTGCTGTGAGTCACAAGTGACTTGATGGCACATAACAAGAACATGCCAAAAAGAAGAGACTGACCCAGAACCCTTTCAGTAAGTAGCCCATGATTAAGAACCAATGGTAATGAAAGAAAAAGTTCAAGCTACACTGAAAGCATTAGCAAAAAATAAGGCCGCAGGAATCGACAGGATACCAACTGGGGTTATTTAAACAAACAGAAAAGATGTAACCGTAGATGTGTTCATAGGGCTGAGCCTAGAAACAGCGACCTGGTCAACTGACTGGAAGAGATCCATTGTTGTTCCTATTTTCAAGAAAGGTGATAAAACATAATGTGAAAATTAATGAACAAAATCACCAGTATCTTCTTGCTGAAAATCATCCCAAGGCAGTACACTAAGAAGAACTTCCAGAAATTCAAGCTGGATTTAGGAGAGCCTGTGGCACCAGAGATACCACTGGTTGATACCAGAAGGATCTTGGCTGAAAGCAAGAACTACTATAAAGATATCCATTTGTGCTTTATTAACTATGCAAAGGAATCTTGTGAATTATAATAAATGTGTAGACCTTAAGCTGTGTGGATCATAATAAATTATGGCTAACACTGAGAAAAATGAGAATCCCAGAACACGTAAATTGTGCTCACGTAAACAGCAACTCTCGGAACAGCTCATTGCCTGGTTTAAATGAGAAAAAAACAAAACAAAAACACAGTGTACGTCAGAGCTCTATCCTTTTCCCATAAGTATTCAATCTGATTAGGTGTAATTTGCAGAAAAAAAAACATTTGCGTGGCTGAACTTCATGAATAAGAGTGTAGGATCAATTTTGGAAGAGGTCTCATCAACAATCTATATTATATAGATGACACAATCTTGCTTGAAAGTGAGGAGGATCTAAGGTGTTTGCTGCAGAAGATCAAAGACTATAGCCGTCCGTATGGATTATATCTCAGCCTCTAGAAAACAAAAATCCATAGTACTGGGCCAGTAGGCAACAGCACAATAGATGGAGAGAAGACTGAAGTTGTCAATGATTTAATCTTGCTTGGATTCAAGTAAACACTCCTGGTACTGTGTTGTGAGTTGTTGAGTTGGAACTGACCCACAGCTGGGCCTCTAGTGAGCTTTCAGAGGCAGTAAATCACAAGGGAGTAAGGAGACTGCTTATCCTACTAGCAGTTAAGAAATCAAAAGATATGTTGCATTGATGAAGTCTGCTGTCAAGGACCCTTCTAAGGTG